TCCTCTTCTGAATCCACTATTTCTTCGAATTCATCGCCCTCTTGAGCATCCAATTCACGATCGATTACTTTGGATTCATCATCATCATCATCATCATTGTCCTTGCATCTTCTTCTCTACAAACAACACAAATAACACTAATCGATGAAACAAGACATCTAAATACAAACTTTTTCAGGGATCTAAATGAATGCAAAAACATCTCATCGCGTTTTTTTATTAACTATTTTATTCAGCAATAGTACTTCTCACTAGTATGCTACGAAAAGTGCTGAATTGATAGAGAATTGAAGAGATTTCTGGAATCCTGTAGTTAAGAGGTGCGGCTACGCATAAACTTTAGGCTACGGCTAAGTCTTGCTTTTGGTTGACATGAACGGCTAGGCTCAGCCGACGACCTACTCTGGGACCGAGGTTCACCTCGGCTTCATACTGAAACCTGAGCAGCCACACGACTGAAACTAATCTATGATGCACTCCGAGACTCACAACATCGCCCTGCTTCGTAAATGCATCAATTAAAAACTTAGCAAAAGTTCAATAAAATACACAGTTACAAAATGTTCTTCAAAATTCACGATAAAATTCCTCATCATGATAGAGAATATCTTTTCCAACGAACCATTTCGTTTCGTTTCTTGGTGGTATAGTTCTTGCTTGTCCCCTCGCCACCATCGTATTCACTTGAATTCATCCTTCGTTTTCTGCCATCCTTCCTTCTTCTATCTTCTAGATGCGACCCATCAACCTTGTTACTGTTACCACGGTTATCTAAAATGAACTAAAAAGAGATTCTTATCTCATTATCACCACATCACTNATAAACAAATAAATCCTATCAACATAACAATGAACACACTTTGCCGTTTGTCACGGCTGTGTTGCTGCTTACGTTCTCGATCTTGGTGCTTTTGATTGACGCCTTGTTGGGGTTTTGCAGGTGGCGTTGGACGACGGTAATAGTAAAAATAGGTGTGGATTCGTTTATCGGTGAGATGCTTCTTGATGAGGCGTTTCACGGAATACCAATTTTTGCCAGGCATTTGGTTGTCTAGTAGTGGGAAGTGCACACTTCTTGCATTCACTCTCGTTGCGTATGCACACAAACGTTGTAAGCTTTCAGCGAACAATCTCTCGTTGGTAAATACTGAACCAAACATGAATGTAATCAACGCATCTCTTCGTGTTTTTGTCAACTTTCCACGAGGAATGATAACATTAATGGATATAATGATAATAACAATAGCAATAATAATAGTAATGACAACAATAACAAAAAAGACAGCAGCAATAATTACAGTGAAATACATAACTGTAATAAAAACAATCAGTCAACTAACTTCTAAACTTTTTCTGCTGAACGACAAGTAGAACTACAGACTGTCGACGAGTCCAACTTTTCGCATTCTTCCCACCATTAAGTTCATTATTTTGTTGAGCCGTTGTCGTTTCTGAACATTTGTCACATCTATTAGT